CGAACTGCGACAGCAGGCACGAAAAGTTACAACTCAATGCGTAAGGTGTAGACGCTTTAATGCGTCACCTTACCGCTACCCGGAAACACCAGACCTTCCGTCTCAACGAGTCCAGGAAACCAGACCATTCGAAAACATCGGCATAGATTTCTTCGACCTGCCACCTGTGAGAGACTCCGAAGCGGGAGAACTAAGTAAAACATACGGCTGCATATTCACGTGCGGAGTCACGAGAATGGTTCACCTGGAAGTTTTGCAAAGCATGTGTACAGAAGCTTTTCTCAATGCCTTGCGAAGATTCTTTTCCAGACGAGGTATCCCTTCTTCAATAACATGTGATAATGCGCCAACTTTTCTCTTGGGTGCAGAGATTTTACGAAGTGCGACAAACGAAAGCCTCACTCAGTTTTTGGCGAAAAACGCGATAGAATGGAGACATATAACTCCTTACGCGCCATGGCAAGGCGGTTTCTACGAAAGATTGATAAAATCCGTCAAACATGCGCTTTACAAATCTATCGGGAGAGCAAGACTCTCATTTTGATAATCTTCCGAACTAATTATTACAGAAGTTTGAAAGCTACCCAAATAACCCCCCCCCTCAATCAGCACGCCCCATTAACTTACCAGGAGTCGCGACTACGAAGAATTTAGCTCCTTGAGACCGATTGATTTTGTTCAAAACCGTATTAATCTCACTTTTCCACTCGAAGATATAGAGGACAACACTTCTGATCCAGATTACTTGGCCCGCAACCAAATGAACTAATCATCATGGAAACTCGACAACAGGGCGGCGTGCCAGTTAAGTGCTCTTCTTCATCATTCAATTACAAATCGCGTTCTTGGACGAGTTTGCCGCAGAGCAATACTTAACAAGTTTGCCGGGAGAAACAAACATAAAGTCGCAACAACGTATCCAACGGCCGCTTCTAACTCTCTCAACAAACCCAAGAAAGGATCCACTAGCTCCTTACTGCACCCGATCCTAATATTTCGCACGAAAATGAGTGTGAACAGCCTGCACGGCATAAGACTGCTCACAACCATCGTTGGATGGGCGCCAGCTTAGAGAAGTGCGAGACTAGCCTCACTTCTGGGTAGACGCAAGAATCAGAAGACTCATTAACCCGTCATCCGTACCCATTGGAGCATCGATTGCGCAAGACCAAAATTCCAGGCCCGGAAAAGCTGCAAATATCATAAAGATCTCTCAGAAAATTCGTAGAATTTACGTCTAGTTAAAAAAGTCACTCCTATACCAGATATATTGCGCATGCGAGTCCGCAATGAGCCAGCTTGACTGAAACCTTACCCTATTTCATCTCCGCTTGATAGTATTCGCTGACGACCACCCTTTTCTCTACGTCATATACTTTAGAAAATAGATCTAATCAGTAGAAATTTCTCACTTCTTTACAATTGAATGCAGGTGCAAGTCTCACGCCCGGTTGCGATTTCCGTGCGACACCTAGCGAAGCGAAAGTTTCAAGCAAGTGCAACTGGACTTAAGCGATTTCGATTTGGCGATATGTCCACAGGTAATGTCATTATAATATAGGCGTTTTTACTACAAAAAAATAAGGAAGGCATATCACTCAAGCGAAAGCGATTGCGAATTACACAGATTTAGAAGAGGTGTGCTTTATTACAACTTTTTTTACGCTACATTTTCACTTTTTTGTAGCGATTTTATTTTTCCGCACACATTTTGATTTCTCTTTGTGGCGAATTCTTTTTTACGAACATTTTCTCACTTTTTTTCGCGAATACTTTTCCACCTTTTTTGCGATTTTTTTCACGACTTCACTCTCTCCTTCATCTTATGCAAGTGCGATATTTTCTTCAACGAAGAGATGGTGCTACTTGCGACTTCGAACGAAAACCACATTGACTATTTCCACGAAGATTTTACACAAAAAGAAAAAACAAGGCGAAAAAAAAAAAAAAAAAAAAAAAAAAAAAAAAAAAAAAAAAAAAAAAAAAAAAAAAAAAAAAAAAAAAAAAAAAAAAAAAAAAAAAAAAAAAAAAAAAAAAAAAAAAAAAAAAAAAAAAAAAAAAAAAAAAAAAAAAAAAAAAAAAAAAAAAAGAAAGAAAAAAAAAAAAACCCTAGGAGAAAATTATCCTTTTACTTCTCCGTCTTCTCTTCACTTTCTGACCTTAATAAACACACCGCAACACAATAGGACAGGAAAAAAAAAGGACGACAAAACAATAAAAAAAAGGAACAAAATCAAACAATAAACGAAAAAAAAAGAAAAAAAAAAGAAAAATATCGGAAAAAAAAGAAAAAAAAAAGAAAAAAACTATGCAGAAAAAAGATAAACCTTTTTCGAAGCCACTCAGTCACAACTCGAATTTTCTCAAGAATATTCCCAGTTTTGCAAATGCGAATGCGAATCGAAATGACGATCCAAACAACTGACAACTTACTCGATTTTTCGACAACTTCCCAGTAACACTAAATTGCAGACCTGAAGAAAGAACTTCGACAAGCACAAGCTCAACTAGAAAAGATCTCAAGTCAGCACTTCCGCCACTGCCAACACCGGACAAACTATATCAAGACATAGTTCATTGCTGTAGTGAAGTACTCTATCTCGTCGATCTCATTGATAATCTTAAAGAAGATATCTCTTATTTCTTCGATAACAATGAATCTTGGAAAATCCTAGAGCGCGAAGCCCGCATCAAAGAGTTGACTGTTGAAAACTATTCTCTAAGATTGCATCTTCTGCGAAAGCAACTCTCTCTCTTCTACTCGACTGTTCCCGTTATTATCTCTATGAATATGATCTCCGAGAAGGCATGGGACTCACAGATGAGCACTCCCTCAGCAGTATACGACACACACTCCTGGAAGGAAGATTCCACGTTACCAAAACTTCACAAAAGCAATCGAGTGGAGATCCTGGACTCCGACAAGAAGAGAGCTGATCAATGGAGCTGTTCACGCACAGATAAAGGATATTCAAGCAGCAATGTCATACAACAAGAGCCGGTACCATCGCCAAGATGCTCTCGAACAAGCGAATCTGCGACTCCCTGAAGGAAATCAAGGAAGAACTCGACCAGTTGCGAGGAAGTTTGCAAGACAATCGTGATGGGCGAGTTAGCGAAAGCGAACAAGCGAGAATCGCAGAAAATGTGGAGTTTATGGAAGGTTCTGTCCAAGAAGAACAACCACAACCACCGGACGAAGAAAAAGAGTCCATATTCGAAGAGATCCATCATCTCGAGCAAGAACTGAAGCAAGTCCACAACAAGATACGCGAACTTGCCGCTCTCCGAAGATGTCGTCCTAGACAATATGAAGAAGGAATCACACGTGAAGAAGAGACAACGATGCGATGCGCTTTCTGCTTTGCTGAAGGCCAGGCACTATTCCGATTCCTGCCCCGAAGTCCGGACAGTGGAGGAGAGATTGGATTCACTGAGAAGAAGGAGACGCTGTACCATCTGCCTGGACATAGAATGCGATATGGGCTATTTCTGCCCGAAATACAGCAAAAGATGCCATCACTGCCATAAAGCCGGACACGCCTCCGCAGTATGCACGTTACCAGAAGAGTCCTTGGATATTCTGGCTCGAAAACGCGATTACGAGATACCGGCCGATCAGAATCCTGAGAACTCTCGGAAAGCAACTGCGCCACGAGCTCTCTCGCAGCCCGATGTCGACTCGTCCAAAAGTTATGTTATGGCGAAACACCGCGCATTCTCGATCACAGCATCAATAGAGGGAATGCGGATTCAAAACCTCGCGATCGCTGCGGAGCGCCGCCAAAAAACGACTTACTATAAGGAGCGGGGCGGAGCAGTCCAAGCTGCCCTCTCGTTTGCACTTCGTTGCCTCTCTTCCCGCTTCTTCTCCTTAAGATCATTATATCTCTCTGCGAGTTAGCGATTTGCCGACTGAATCGACCATAACACTTTCGATTATCTCTTTTCTTAATGGCTGGTATTTATTCTCTCTGAGCGATTGGGCGAGATCTTCTAATAACATCTCATTTGCACTCTATGTTGTTATTCTTCTTTTATGCTGATTATTGTTGTTTTGATAATCTTCGTTTCCTACGATTATGCGAGGTCGTTAACATTATCTAATTTGCGGTCTGCATTGTTATTACTCCTTCATGTTACTTGAAGTTGACTCTTGTTGTTTCGATACTCATCGTTTTTCTCAGGATTCTTCTCATGTCATGTCATTCGTGTTTCTAACACATTTACGGTTATTTTTTGTGTTCTTATTTAGGCCTACCTTGTTTTCCTCAGGTTACCGAGTGCTCTCTCCTGATCGCTCTATTAAACTTTGACTGTTGCCTTATAAACCAAGCATTCACAATTGTTTAATTACCAATTATTGAGTGTTGAGGTGTTGTCTCGCATTGCCCAAAAACACAGCTGAATTCGACCACCCGCCTCCCAACCTTCTTAACACAAATCTCTTTAATCAGTCAGAGTGGATGTTTTTTCAGCATTTGCTCTTTTTCCCACTTCTCAATGCAGCCCTGCACTTTTCATACCCTCCCCTCCTCCTCCTTTGCCACTCAAATAAACTCAATAATAATACGACTCCCGTCTGCTGTATTTCCACCGCGACGGTGCGTGCTCTTACGTCATGCATCAATCCAACTAATTCACAAGCTGTGTCTGCAAGCGGTATGAAGTTAACCTCGTCCATGCCGGGCACTTGATTAGGGCGTCTGTCAACGGTGCCGCAGCTGCCACGTTGGCAGGAGATTATTTTGTTTTCCAGGCTAGTTTAGTAATTTTTTTCCCTTCGTGAAGATAAAGGAGACCTGCTAATCTGGGGCCGAAAAAGCCTTACCCAAATAAGTGAAAAAAAATCTTTGGAAAAAAATGACTAAATTAGCCTGGAAAAAGCAAATAGTTCCTGGCACGCGCTGCGGCCCGTTGACGACCGCCCTAATCAACTGCCCGGATGACGAGGTTACTATAGCGCTTAGGCTTTTTCGTGCAAGCAGATCTGCTCCTAGATAGGTCGAGATAGGTTCAAGCGTGTCGTACACTTAGTAATTCGTAACGTTGTACCCCCACTTCAGAGATTGCACCATTGCTTCCGGCTTAAGGTTGCATGCAGGTTGCAGCTCGCCTGTGTTTTAATGGTGACGTGTCAGTCACACCCGAATTTCGCTTTCTAAGGCAGCGTTCATACTTCGCGACAGCAGCGGCGGTCGCAGCGATCATAGCGACCGTAGCGATAGCCGGTCCGCGATCAGGTATAGAAGCTGAAAAAAATGGCATTGGAAGGGTAGCGTAGTTCGCAGCGAACAATGTTGTACCGGCTTCGCGGCAAAAATTTGTGAGGGAGGGGCGCTAACATATGTTCAGTGACCCCTCCTTTTCTCTAGTGACTCCGCCTCTAAACTCCGCCTTCAAGGTCCACCTTCAGACAAAACAAAGGTCCACCTTTCAGAAAAACGAAGCTGCAGGACGAAAAAGCATGAAAATCGTCACTTGTACGGTCGTAGAGTTCTTATCGGGGAATCAGCTGTGCGGATAAGGGCGTAGTGTTGAAGATGGAGTTCACTGGGCACGTACAAACTGGATCGGAATGGGGTTCTATCTAGGGCAGTTGGCATGTTTTTTTCTTCACTATCGAGTTACTCAGAACCTTGTCGTCTATATGCAAACCCCCTA